CTGGGACACAGCAGAAAAAAAAAAAAAAAAAAAAAAAAAAAAAAAAAAAAAAAAAGAAGGAAAGAAAAAGAAAAACACAATGTACCAAAATTTCGGTGAAACAGTGAAAGCAGTGCTAAGGGCAATCTATGGCCATAAACACTTATATTCAAAATAAGAAAGATTTCAAATCAACTACCTAACTTTACAACACAAGGAACTAGAAAAAGAAGAACAAACTAAACCCAAAGCTAACAGACGGAAGACAACAATAAAAATGAGAGCGAAATGAGGTAGATAAATAAAAGAATAGAGAAACAATAGAGTGAAGCAACAATTGTTTCTTTGATAAGTTCAACAAAACTGACAAATCTTTAGCTAGATGGACTAAAACAAAAAAAAAAAGAGAGAATACTCAAATTACTAAAGTCATGAATGAAAGTGAGGACATTACTACTGATTCTACAGAAATAAAAAAATGTTTGTAAGAGAATACTATGCACAGTTGTATGTCAAAAAAATTGGGTAAGCTAGATAAAATGGGCAAATTCCTAGAAACAGAAAACCTACCAAGATTAAATCACAATTGAAGAGAAAATCTGAATAGACCTATAGCTGGTAAAAAGATTGATTATTAACCAAAACTCTCCTGACAAAGAAAATCCTTGGACCTGACAGCTTCACTGATTAATTCTATTATTTATTATTTATTTTTTTATTTTATTTTATTTGTTTATTTTTTTCTGAGATGGAGTCTCACTCTGTCACCCAGGCTGGAGTGCAGTGGTGTGATCTCCGCTCACTGCAAGCTTCGCCTCCCAGGTTCACTCCATTCTCCTGCTTCAGCCTCCCCAGTAACTGGGACTACAGGCGCCCGCCACCATGCCTGGCTAATTATTTGTATTTTTAGTAGAGACAGGGTTTCACTGTGTTAGCCAGGATGGTCTCCATCTCCTAATCTCGTGATCTGCCCGCCTCGGCCTCCCAAAGTGCTGGGATTACAGGCGCGAGCCACCACGCCCCGCTGAATTCTATCATAATTTAAAGAACAAAGACGAATCCTTCTCACATTTTTCTAAACAAATAAAAAGAGGGAATACTTCCTAACTTATTCTATCAGGCCAGATTACCGTGATAACAAAGCCAGACAAAGACACTACAAAAGAAAACCACAGACCAATATCCCTTATGCAGAAAACTCATGACAAAATATGAGCAAACCAAATTCAACAGCACATTAAAAAGTCAATTTACCATTATCAAGTGGGATTTATTACTGGAATCCAAAGATAATTCAACATACCAAAATTGACCAAGAAAGAAAATACATCACATTAAAAGAAAGAAAAAAAATCATTATCTCAATCAATGCGGTAAAATCGTTTGACAAAATTCAACATCATTTTATGAGAAAAACATTCAGCAAACTAGAAACAGAACAAAACTACCTCAACATAACAAAAGCCACATATGAAAAACCCAGAGTGAACATCATACTCAATAGTGAAAGACTGAAACTTTTCCTCTAAGATTGAGAATAAGGTAATCGTGTGTGCTTTCATGATTTCTATTTAACATAGTACTAGAAGTTCTAGCTAGAGCAATTAGGTGGAACAAATAAAATCAAAATTAGAAAAAAAGTTAAAGTGTCTTTGTTCACAGATTATATATTTTTATACACAGAAAACCCTAAGAATTTAAAAAAAAAAACTTGCTAGAACTAATGAATGAATTTGACAAATTATCAGAATACAAAGTCAAAATACAAAAATCAGCTGCATTTCTATATATCTATAATAAACAACCCAAAAAGAATATTATGGAAACATTTCAATTTATAACAGCATTAAAAAGAAAATATATACTTAGGAATTAAATTAACCAAGGAAGTCAAAGATTTGTTCAATGAAAACTACGGAACATTATGGAAAAAAATTAAGGAAGACATAGATAAATAGAAACATATTCCGTGGTCATGGATAGGAAAACAATATTGTTAAGATGTCAATACTACCCCAAATCATCTATAGATGAAACACAATTTCTATTAAAATGCCAAAGACATTTTTAACAGTAAAATTTTAAAAACCATCTTAAAATTCATATGCAATTTCAAGGGACCCAAAATAGCCAAAACAATTTTGAAAAAGAACAAAGCTGGAGGACTCACACTTTCTGATTTCAAAACTTACTACAAAGCTACTTAAAACTGTATGGAATTGGGATAAAAATAGACATATAGGGCAATGGAATAGAACACAAATCCCAGAAGTAAACCCTCACATGTATGATCAAATGATTTTTGACAAGGGTGCCAAGACTATTCAATGGAGAAAGCGCAGTCTTTGCAACAAATGATACTGGGAATACCGGATGTTCACATGTAAAGGAATGAAGATGGACCCCTACCTAACACTATGTACAAAAATAAACTCAAAATGGATCAAAGATCTAAATACAAAAACTAAAAGTAAAAACTTAGAAGAAAACATAGGGCAAAAACTTCACTACATTGGAGATGGCAGTGATTTCTTGGATAAGACATCAAGATAAAGAACAGACAACCAAAGAAAAAATAAACAAATGAGACTTCATGAATTTTTTTTAATTTGTGCATTCACGTATAATATCAATAGAGTAATCAGAAAACCCACAGAACGGGGGGAGGTATTTGTAAAGCATATATCTAGTAAGAAATCAATATCCAGAATGTATAGAGAACTCCTAAAATTCAACCACAAAAAACCAACCAACCAACTCAATTTAAAAATTGACAAAGGACTTGAATAGACATTTCTCCCAAGAAGAGATACAAATGGCCAATAAACACATGAAAAGATGTTCAACATCACTAATAATTAAAGACATGCAAATCAAAACTACAACTAGATACCACCACACACCACTTGGGATGGCTCCTATCAAAAAAACAGAAAATAAATGATGATGAGGATGTGGAGAAATTGTAACCTTTGTGCACTGTTGGTGGGAATGCAGTGATACAGCTACCATTGAAAATAGTATGTCAGTGCATCAAAAATTTTAAAAAGAACTACCATATTATCCAGTAATTCAACTATCATATATACACACAAAAGAATTGAAAGCAGAATCTTAAAGACATTTGTACACTAATATTCATAGTAGTATTATTCACAGTAGCCAAAACACAGAAGCAGCCCTAGGGTTTAAGACAGATGAATGGATAGGCCATGTGGTATACATGTGTAATGAAATATTATTCAGCCTTAATATGGAAAGAAATTCTGGTATACGCTACAGCATGGATGAAGCTTGAAGACATTTTGCAAAGTGAAATAAGCTAGTCACAAAAAGATAAACATTATATGATTCCACTTATGTGAGGTACCTAAGCAAAATCACAGAGACAAAAAGTAGAATGCACTTTGCCAGGGGATGTGGGAAGGGAGGAAATGAGGAGTTACTGTCCATTGGGTATAGAATGTCAGTTTTACAAGACGAAGAGTAATGGAGATGGATGGTAGTAATGGTTGCACAACATTTTGAATGTATTTAATGCCACTGAACTGGTTAAATACACTTAAAATGGTTAAGAATACATTTTACATTGTGTGTATTTCACCACAATAAACAAAATTGGGGTGAAAAGTTTGTTTGGAGGGATGCTCTTGTCCGGCCATCACGGAAGCAAGCTGGCAAATGAATCCCTCCAAGGCCGTGGTTAAGTGTCCCCAGAAGTGTAGGGGCACAGGGAAGGGTCTCTGAGCAGACTTTAAGGACTGGTGATGTCATTGTGGAGAAGATGATGCCTGAAGACACAGGAAAGGGTAACCAATGTGAGAGCAAAGCTGAGAACTTGGAGTGTGCAGCGCGACCCACCGTCGCCTGAACACAGGGTGCGAAAGAACATCCAGACAGGACAGTAGCCAAACATCCTTTGCTATGCCCAAGAATGGTTTTTCATCACCAAAATATTTTACCAGAGGAATGGCAATCATTTCTGTACTTTGGATCAATGGAAACTGTGTGAAAAATGGTCCGGATGATGGAATGATTGAAGATATAAAACCAGATCTATCTGCCTGATGCAAAAACCAGAAAGGCCTGACCCAAAGGCCTGAAACAGTGGTATGCTGGCAACAGGTTAACACCAGTTCTGAGAAAAAAGAGAAGATTAAAGACCACAAATTGTAGCATTTGACAATTCTCATAGTGTAAATACTCCCACCTCAGCCAATTTCAAACTGCCCAGGTGACATGCGCTGTGCTAGCAAAATTCCTGAAAATGGAATCTTTGAGTCTTGAGAGCTGCAAAGAGACTGAACCTGCCTTGATGCACTGTGACCTCAAGGAGATGAGGACGGGAAAAAAAACCAAGAGAGATTGGTCCCCTGGGAAGAGAGAGAGGAGAGGATCTTAAAAGACAGTGTTGAAAGGCCACAATGCTGCAGAGAAGTAAAGTAACGAAAGGAATAAACAGGACTTTCGGATTTTGCAATTTAGGATGTACTTCCTGCCCCTGGTGCGGAGTACTGGGGCTGAAGTCTGTCTACAAGCAGCTAAGCACTGGCACAGGAAGAAACCGTGTGAGCCTTCCAGGAAGAGCTCACAGACAGCCACACCCGGCCCTGCTTATCAAACCCCTGATTAGAAGAAAAGCCAAGGAGGTAACAGTCTGAAAGTCTACACTGAAAGAAACTCTTCCTCTTCTGCTTTTATAATATTTACAGTTCTTAGAAATATTCCACCTACCTTCATGTTGAGGGGTGAAGCCAGCTGAACTTCCTGTGTGGACTGGGGACTTGGGGAACTTTCCTGACTTACAAGAGGATTGTAAAACGCACCAATCAGTGCACTGTAAAATGCACCAATCAGTGCTCTGTAAAGTGCACCAATCAGCACTCTGTAAAATGCACCAGTGCTCTGTAAAATGCACCAATCAGAACTCTGTAAAATCTAACAATCAGCGCTCTGTAAAATGCACCAATCAGCAGGATTCTAAAAGTAGCCAATTGCGGGGAGGATGGAAGAAAGGGCGCTCTGAGAGGACCGGAAGTGAACCTGGGAGAGGGTGAATAAGGGAGTAAAAGCTGGCCGCCTCAGCCCCCAGCAGCAACCTGTTCCGGTCGCATTCCGCGAGGTGGAAGCTCCGTTCCTTCACTCTTCACGATAAACCTTGTCAGCGCTCGCTCTGAGAGCTGTTCCACTCACCGCGAAGGTCCGCAGCTTCGTTCTTGAAGTCAGACCACGAACCCGCCGGCAGGAACCAACTGCAGACACAATGTGATGCACCACGAGGTAAGTTAAAAAAAAAAAAAAAAAAAAAGTAAAACAAACCAAAAGCCTTTAGCTCAGGAGTCATGCAGCCTTTATCATCAGTTCTTTCCTTAAGGTGTCATGACCTCAGACAGGCTCCTTGCCTCCGCTGGATGGGCGGGGAGAAACCGCCTGAGAAGCGCAGGACGCAGCCTCGGGGGTCAGAGTTGCTCCCTGCCTGTGATGGCCTCACGTGTGTGGACGGGTGGGCTTCACCCCACCTGGGGACAGAGAGAACCGGAGCCTGAAGAGGGTGAGGGATTCCTCCAAGTCACACATAAAAAGCAAAAAAGGCTCCGAGGCGGGTGGATTGTCTGAGCTCAGGAGTTCGAGACTAGCCTGACCAATATGGTGAAACCTTGTTTCTACTCAAAATACAAAAATTAGCTGGGTGTGGTGGTGCGTGCTTGTCATCCCGGCACTTTGGGAGGTCGAGGTGTGTGGATCATCTGAGGTCAGGAGTCCGAGATCAGCCTGACCAACATGATGAAACCCCGTCTCTAGTACAAATACAAAAAACAGCTGGGCCTGGTGGCGCATGCCTGTAGTCCTAGCTGCTCAGGATGCTGAGCCAGGGGAATCGATTGAACCTGGGAGGCGAAGGGTGCAGAGGTGAGCTCATGCCACTGCACTCCCACCTGGGTGACAGAGTGAGATTCCATCCCCCGCCCCGCCTCAAAAAAAATCAAAAGGCAGCTCAGAGGTTTCATTCCAAGATTTTTGGCCCATGCCCAGGGTGCCTCCACTTTACTGTCATCAAAACAATAAAAATCAAATGAGACAAAAGGATAGTGATTTGGAGGAAAATGCTTTAAAGTTTTACAAAGCAGTGTTACATTATTTGGTACCCAGTTTTTAAAAGATGAATAACCTCATGCTAAAACCACAACCTGCTCAGATCTGAATGGTTGTGTTCCCTCAAAATTCCTGTGTTGAAACCTGACCCCCAAGGTAATGGAATCAGGAGGTGGGGCCTTGGGGAGTGCTTAGGTCCTGAGGGTGGAGCCCTCGTGAATGGAACTAGTGTCCTTACAAGGAGGTCTCAGAGAGCTCCCTCACTCTGAGGACACAATGAGAAGCTGCTGTGTTATGAACCAAGCAGTGGGCTCTCGCCAGGCACCAAATCTTCCCACACCTCAAAGTTAGACTTCCCAGCTTTCAGAACTGTGAGAAATAAATTTCTGCTGTTTATAGGCCTCCCGGTTTATGGCATTTTGTTACACTAGCTGGAACAGACGGAAACATTCCAGGCAGTACTGCAAGTGAGCGATGGGAAACAATGTTATACACGTTACCACGGGAGAGGACTGAACTAGTTCATTTCCACTGGTCCCTCTTCAACCGAGCAACACTCTTATTTTATGGGAGGGAAAGTATAGCCACATAAAAATCGACAGATGGGCTTTGATTTTAGCAGCAGGAAGGTGGGTCTCCTAAGTTTTCACTTTTCTTTCACTCAGATTTATTTTCACATCTGAGAGCCATTTAATTTGACTACAGTTAAGCTGCTTTCAAATTGCAGACATGAGCAGGGTCTCACTTAGTTTCAACTAAACAGGAGACCCGATTACAAGCAGCATTGTGGGCATCTGGTCCTGTGGCTGGTTTTCCTCAGCAAATGCAGAAAAACCATAGCAACCATCAGCACACAGTGAAACACAGCATCACCAAGTAGCTCGGTCAGTCGGTGGAAAGACTCTGTGTGGCGCTCAGGGCCCTGGAAGGGGGCATGGGGGAGGCAGGAGGGAGCAGCCAGTGCCCTCCAGGCTTCGTCAGGTGGGGCAGTGTATTAGCTTTCCATGGCTGTGTAACAAATGCCAACAAATTAGCAACTGAAAACAACAGCCAATCACCATCTCCCAGTTTGCAAGTCAGAAGCTCAAGCAGGCTCATCTGGGTTCTCGGCTCTGGATCTCACACACCTCAATCTAGGCATCCCCAGGACTGGGCTCTGATCTGGAAGCTCAGAGCAGAATCTGCTTCTGAGCTCATTCAAGTCGGTGGCAGAATTTCATTCTTTGAGGTTGCAGAACAGAGACCTGTGCTTCCTTGTGGGCTGCCAGCCAGGGGCTGCTCTCAGCTTCTAGAGGCCACCCTCGTTCCTTGATATGTCCCACCCTCTCCTCAACCCCCTCACCAAATCCTCAAGCCAGCAGTGATGGCGAATCCCTCCCATACTTGGATTCTTACTTCCTTTTCTGCTACCAGCTGGAGAAAACTTTCTATTTGCAAAGGGCTTACCGGACTGGTTCGGGCCCACCCACATATATCCCACATCACATTGTGAGTTCAACTGACTTTGGATAATGATTACATCCAGGAAATCCTTCATGGCAGCCCCAGATTAGTGTCTGATTGAATAACCAGGGATGGAATCCTAAGGGTCATCTTTAGAATTACACTGATTAGAGAGAGTTCAGACAGCCCCGGGAGACTATGATGAACACAAAACGGTATAAGACGGAGAGCTACAATTTACACACTGTTCATTTCCCTTCCCGGAAACCAAGGAAGCCATCCTGGGGGAGGAGACTCTGATGTGGGCCTGGAAGAACCAGGGGACTTGAGGTACAGGTGAGGAACGGGGCAGGTGTATGTAAGAGGAGAAAAAGGAGGTATCAAGACCAGGGAACACTGTACATGGTGGCTGGTGGACAAGAACAGTTACGATAGGCCTCTGAGGGAGCGGACTCACCCTAGAGTCAAGCCAACTGAGGGAAGAGGTGACCAGGTGAGTACCAGTTAAGTAGTAATCAGCAATACTTCCTCTACTACTTGCCATGTGAAAGGCCCACGCACCCTTGCTCCTCACACTGAGCTTCTAATTAACAAAACGAGGCAGGGAGCTTCCAGATCTCACTTTCATAGGTGAATTTTGTGATACTGTTATAGTGTTAAAATACATTATCCTGGCCGGGCATGGTGGCTCGCCCCTGTAATCCCAACACTTTGGGAGGCCGAGGCGGGTGGATCACGAAGTCAGGAGTTCAAGACCATCCTGGCCAAGATGGTGAAACCCTGTCTGTACTAAAAATACAAAAAAATTAGCCGGACGTGGTGGCAGGCGCCTGTAGTCCCAGCTACTCCGGAGGCCAAGGCAGAGAATGGCTTGAGCCCAGGAGGCGGAGGTTGCGGTGAGCCGAGATTGCACCACTGCACTCCAGCCTGGGCCACAGAGGGAGACTCTGTCTCCCCCCCCCAAAAAAAAAGCGTTATCCTTGTGTTAGTCTGCTCAGCTGCCATAAGAAAGGAACACAGACCAGGGGTTTACACAATAGATGTGTATTCTCTCCGGGTTCTGGAGGCCGGAAGGCTGAGATCTAGGGTGGTTCATTCTGGGGCTGTGGGAGAAGCTGCTTCAGGGCTCTGCCCCGGCCTCTGGAGTTTGCTGGTCTCTTTGGCGTTCCTTGGCTTGTAGAGGTGTCATGGCGATCTCTGCCGTCATCTTCACGTGGCATTCTCCCTGTGTGTGTCTGTCCCCAAATCTTCCCCCCCTCTGCTTTATTTTTTGAGATGGAGTCTTGTTCTGTCACCAGGCTGGAGTACAATGGCGTGATCTCAGCTTACTGCAAGCTCCGCCTCCCGGGTTCAAGCGATTCTCCTGCCTCAGCCTCCCAAGTAGCTGGGATTACAGGAGCCCACCACCAGGCCCAGCTAATTTTGGTATTTTTAGAAGAGATGGGGTTTCACCATCTTGGCCTGGATGGTCTCTAACTCCTGACCTCATGACCCGCCTGCCTTGGCATCTGAAAGTGCTGGGATTACAGGTGTGAGCCACTGCACCTGGCCAAATCTTTCCTTTTTTAAGGACATCAGTCACACTGTATTAGGGGCCACCCTGCCCCAGTATGACCTCATCTTAACAAGTTACGTTTGTGATGGCCCTGTTTCCATTCTGAGGTCCTGAAGTTTAAGACTTCAATGTATGACTTCATGGAGGACACAATTACCCCCATAACAGTCTTCTGTGCTCTAGAGACAGCCCTCATTTTTTGAGGGTAAGGATCAGATAACTTATACTTTATTTCTATAGATAACGTGAGGCAAATTCTACTTAGAGTTTGAACTCTTCTCAAAGTATGGTCCTCAGACAAGCGGCATCAGATCACCTAGCAGCTTGTTGGAAATGCAGTCTCGCCCCACACCAGGCCCACAGGGTCACAATCCTCATTTTAACAAAATCCCCAGAAAACTTTTTTTGTGTGCCTAAAAATTTGAAAGGCAGTATTTAATACACTTTGTCAGAAATGACTGGAAAATTCTTCAGGGCAAAACCATAATGTCAACCTCACACCACCATTTAAAGAAATTAAAAATAAGTTTTTGAACTAGTACAGCCACTCCAGAGAACAGTATGGAGGTTCCTCAAAAGACTAAAATAGAACTACCATATGATCCACCAATCCCACTGCTGGGCATTTATCCAGCAGAAAGGAAATCAGAATATCAAAGATACATCTGCACCCCATGCTTTTATCTCAGCACTGTTCACCACAGCCAAGGTATGTAATCAACCCAGGTGTCCAACCCTGGATAAACAGGGAAAGAAAATGGGACATATGCATTATGAAATACTATTCAGCCATAAAAAAGAATAAAATCCTGTCATTTGCAGCAACGTGGATAGGACTAGAGGACATTATGTTAACCGAAATAAGCCAGGAACAGAAAGTAAAACCGCATGTTCTCACTCATCTGTGGAAGCTAAAATAAAGTTGATCTCATAGAAGTAAAAAGTAGAACAGAAGATGCTAGAGGCTGGGAAGGATAGGGAAAAAGAAGAAAAGATTTGTTAAGGGATGCCCATTTACAGCTAGTTGGAAGGAATCAGTTCTAGTGTTCTGCAGCACTAAGGGTTGACTGGAGTTAGTAATATATTACAGTTTCCAATAACTAGAAGGAGGATGTTGAATGTTCCCAATACAAATAAATGGTAAATGTTTGAGATAATGGAAGTGCTAATTATCCTGATCTGATCACCA